TTCCACTTGAGTATAGTTCATCTGCTCCGGTGTTTTAGCCACACTAGTGTCTTAGCCACGCCATCAGGATATACATTTGTACAATAAGCAGAATCAATAGCGAATATTTAATAACTCAATGTCTTAGCCACACTGGTGTCTTAGCCACGCCATCAGGATATACATTTGTACAATTACATTCCAATGCTTTAATACCTGATAATTGGCTACAATATTACAGCTAAGACTTTGAGGTAGAACAGTGGTATTATAGGGCAATTCCAGCCTCACATTTGCAAGGTCTTATGCCTTAGTGGTATAGCGCACTGCGGTTACTTTCGGGCTGCGGGTTTGATTCCCACTTGTGCCATTTTTTGGGCTTTTCGGAAATTCTTCAGCGTGTCTTAGCCGCTCTTGGGCGCTTCTGGTGGCTAGTCCGGTGTAACTTAATAAGTTCCTGTGTCTGGGCCGCCGAACTGAATCAGCTCAGTGAGTACAATACATGACGACCGCCTGGCAGGTAGCCTGACCATTGTTAGTCTTCTCCGCGCTCCGTGTATGCACAATACGGAATCAGAACTCAATATTATTCACAATTGCTCTGACTCTGAGTCTCGCACCTGTGGTTGCCAACGCTGTAAGTACAATATTCCTTAGGAGTCACAAGCTTACAAACTTGATACCGATATGCCCCCAAGTATCACGCATCCCATGTCTCCTTGGAACATCTTCCTCCACCGATTGGCATATGTACCGGGAACCCCAGCTTCTCTGTTGAAGTGAGCGACCTGTAAGTCAATTGCTCGCCGCCATAGTACGCACACTCAGCTCAGGCTTGACTTTGTTAGCTGTATGTTTCTGCCATCCCGTCAATGTACCTATTACTGACTGCTGCTTTACAGTGCTATTTTTTAGCCGCATTTCTTTAATCGCCGCAGATTTGCTCGTTCTGGTCGTGACGTGGAGGAAGACCTACTGCCAGTATAGAGAAGCAAGGTTACTGAACATAAGGTCTCCGTTTGCCACATATCTCATCCACGATGGTAAGGTGCTCCTCTTTACACCAGTAGCGAGGGTCTTGACCTCACATTAATCCCCTTAGGTACAATCTACTTCTCGTAAGTTTCAGCCTTCGATTACCTTTGTTGTTCCCTCGCTCATACTTACTCGCAGTATCCTTCTGGTCCTAAATGTCTCTCAGATCCTGTCCTTCTACTTTGTAAGTGACCCACCACCAATCACCCCCATCCGGCCTACTGAATACCTACAGGTCTCCACAACCATTGTCACCGCATTTGCAAATATAATGGTGAGCCTACCGCCCATATTTATGGTCCTCTGACATCTCAACATCAACCAGCCGCAGATTCTGGTTTGCCGTTTCATGATGAATCTGCGGCTACTCAACCAGGGCACGTCCACTAACTCCGATATCGAAACGTCTCAGCAGCTGCCTTCACCGCGCACGCTGACATCCAATGACGAGGCAGCCCCGGATTTTATGGGGAACATGGGCGAGCCCCTGGAGTACGGCCAGGATGACGAGAGGGACTACGACGCGCATATCGGCAACGATCAAGCTGTAGCACACTCTGCAGAAGAGCTAGCTGTCTCAGCAGACGTCCAGCGACTGTAAAGCGGAGCCACCAGTGATGTTATGGCACAGGTCGTTTTTGACTTAAACTTTAATCCTTGGATATATGCATATTTGTCTCCTCCTATTGCTGGATTCTCTGACTCTAGTAGACACTGTACTGGTCAGATGAAAACGAGTGTTATCCGTACTCGGCGCCACTTATTTACAAACTTTTGTCCCTGATATCCTCTGAGGCGCCGTGAATCCAACGTATTTAATACACATCCTAACATAGTACTATGCTGTCTGCCCGGGACAGGGCATGCTATGATATAATCTTCGGCGTCGGCTCATACTTCCGCGCTGGTCTCACGATGCCTTGCGCCGCCCAGCTCTGCGGAACCGTTCTCTTCTACCCAGAATTCATCGCTCCAACCATCCTGCAAAGTCTCCCCAATGTTGCCCAACCGGTTTGTTGACTTTCTGAAATGCAGCGTCGACTGTCCTTGCTGCCGATCGGTAATGCGCACAGAGTAGCCCGGCACCGTGACCTCTGAGTCGACCGTCCGTAAGTTTATCATGAAGCGGTTGATGAGTATTAGGGGCTGTGCGGCCGGTTGGTGAGCATCAGAAAGGTAAGTGGAACGTAGGGTACCCACCAAGATTGTGATAAATGCCGACACGGGCGATACGTTCTTAGGTACGGCATTAGACAGATTTTTGCAGACACATAAATACTCGTCTCTGAGACATACCGTAGAGGAGTTGTAGGTCAGCATTTGAGCTATATTTAACACTAGCAGAGCCCTATATTTGTCATCGCTGATGAGTAATACACTCAGGCAGGCGGTTTTGCTGGCGTGCTCACATGAAATAGATAGTCCCCGCATAGGTAGCTAAGTTTCAGCAATGGAAGATGTGGCGGTGTCTGGAGATCTACTGACCATCACGCAGCAGACACGCCGTCAACGACATCGTGATGTTGAGTCGGCGACTGTACTTCCAATGTCCAAACGTCTTGGTCCAGGTTAGGACAAGCACTATCGTGTCAGCAAGGACGACTGAGCTGCGGGTGATATATAACACTGTGAGCAAGTGCCGTCAGTACCTTCGACAAGGTAATAAATTTGACCGCGAATTTACTTCTGTGAGGCAATAGATGAGTACCAAAAATCATAAAGGAGATATGCGCACTCACATACTGCTTGTGTGTGCAGAGAACCGCGGCTCCAAGGCGCATCCAATACCGGAAGGCGGTGCCACTACAATACTCGGCTTGGACACTGTGGCGATAGTCTGTACAGAAGTGTCATGAAGAGCACATATGGGATTCAGGCGGAGGCTATGCGCACCAGGTTAGTCGCAAACGGCACCATACTTAGTATGAGTACGAGTAGCGCCCAAACGTAGCTCCGGTCCCAGATTGCGAACACACGCAGAGCAGAGAAAACTGGTGCGGCATGTAAGCTAATGGACGCCGTGGATTCAGACAGGCTGCGTGAGGCTTACGTGCGATCTGGACGAACCCAAGAAGGACGACTGTCCTGTCCATGATACTAATTTCTGCGCAGCTATATGTCGTGTTTTGGTAAGTAATATGTTACGCACAAGCCTCAAATGACCAGGCTCACTCCTGTAGAAGGCATATTTTAAGATTTTGCGCAGCCAAAGACATTCGAGGCTTACATTCGGGGTTTTCGGCGCAAGTCGCAAGGTAATCGCGAGGAGCAAAGACCATCGTACCGAGCTGAGAAGCACTGCAGATGCAGTGACGGGTCTCTTCCAAATAATTTTAATCTCGTCGCCGATAGTGATGAGAAATTCGTAGACGACGAGACCTGAGGGACAAATGGTGTGAGCAGAGCATTCCGAGTCGGAAGCAAAGGATACACTTGCATGAGATAGCAACAATGGCATACTCTTCCACGAGCCTAGGGGATGGAGGTATGAGCATTGATTCATCAAGTGCGAGCACGGACGCTGCTCACAGCTGCGAATAAGCTTGGGTGGGAGCTTGGACTGACTGTACCGACATGCCAGTGAAATAAGCACTGAAGCGAGCTGCATTGTAGAGACCACCACTTGCATGTTTATAAGCAATTTGGCCAATCGTCTATCTGTGCTTATCCTGTTACGTATACTATTATCGCCTGCGCGTTTCGCCCTAAGGGCCCTGGCACCGAAGAGTTCGGCCCGCAAACCTAAATACAAACTGGCCTAGTTGCGAGCAAAGGTGGCGGACTTCCTTATGTCCATCTTGATCCTGCTCACTTTCAGCTGCCGGTCCGTGCTATTTGGTCTATCCATTATACAGTTAGATGGCTACGTACAGCGTCGACAACATCACTCACCCGTCAAGCGTTCCAGATTCGGGACTGAGCAGGAGTGCGCACGACAGCTGGAGAGAGAAACAGCAGAGAAATGAACGTCTGGCGGGCGCGAGAGGAAAGGCATGTTGACTCCTTTGTCCGCCAGGCTTCTTTGATCCGTGTTAGGGCGCACTGGCAGAAGGGCAGATACTTGGTGGCATTACAAGGACAGCTAGTCTAAAGTAGCTTTTCGAAGTGGGCGTGTTAATGAGCTAGAGCGCAACTCGGATAACGACTACTTCGAAGCGATGTGCTCGACATGAAGCTGAAGAAGGCACGACAACTCCACCTTATCTGCGGACGCGCGGCGCATCAAATGATGTCATCAACGGCATCTCTTCGATCCCCCGTCTGCAATATAGCACTAAGCAAGCCCGTCTGTTGACCGGTACCCCGTCGCATCGACAGGTCAGCCGCCGCCGCCCTCGGACGTACAGAGAGAGGCCCTCCTCCTGCCTCCCTTCTCCAACACCGTGCTCTCCCGGAATCACATACTCACCTCTTCTCAGGCAGCACTAATACGGTTTCTCTCAGCATGATTTGGATTGGTCCTGTGGCTTGGGCTTTGCGGGGTCCGCCGGATCTCAGCCGCCTCTTCGACTGCACACTGAGCCGGCGACGGCAAGCACTCTGCGGGCGATGCTGGGCGGAGCCGTCGAGGATGAAGTCGCTGTGAACGCCTGCACAGACTCATTGGGTGGTACTCATACGATTGCACGGTTTCGGAACCGGAGCGTTCCACGCGAAATTAAATTTGAGCTTGAATCCCGGAATGTGCCGTAACTGCTCTGAAGCTTGAGTATGCTTTACGCGTTACAGGACAAAGGCTTGCCCCTCCGATATAGTTAATCTGCGCGCGAACATAAGCCACTAGCCTCCACGTAGCGTCACATGCTGTAAGCTTGAGAACCTGTATCGGATCCCACTCAGGACCGCGAAGTTGTCCCGCCAATGACTATTTAGGAACAGGCCCAGTGCCCCCAGCCGTGCATGCATGCATATTGCAAGATGCCACTTCGTCACAGAGATAACTTATACTTATACAGACGTTAAGGCACGTCTATGCTATACCTGAGAAAAGTCTTGCTTCGAGGAAATACTACTAGTATTAGTAGGACGAAGATCGCGCTCACCAATTGCCTCCCCGAACATAATTAATTGTGAGTAACACTGTAAAAGCTCCTTATGCATTTCGTTAGAAATGAAGATAATAAAATCGTTATCTCATTAAGCCACTGTGACAAGCCGCAAAGCCGAGTTTATCTCATTCCAGGCAGTCTAGAACATACCATCCGTGCTGGTTTATCTGTGCGATATTATCAATTATGCGTACGCACTGGTCCCACGATTTTCTGCCCCGTCTGCTTCTGCAGAGCTATTCTCTTCGTCCCAAGCATCGCCGTCGTCCCAGCCATCTTGCAGCATCTCCCCCATGTTGCCCAACCGACCCATTGACCTTCTGGGATGCGACGCCGGCGGTACTCGCACCGGAGGTACTGGCTGCAGATCAATAATAGATATGGTGTAGTCCACCACTTCCGAGTGGGTCGTCCGTAGGTTGATCATGAAGCGGTTAATGAGTACCGGGGGCTGCGTAGCCGATTCATGGGCATCAAAGGGCAAACATAATGTGAGGTACGCACTAGAGCTATGATAAACGGAGTCATAAACGATGCAAACTTAAAGTCAAATGTCAGCCATTGGCTCGAGCACTCGTGTTGGGGACGCACCCCAGAGAAGTTATAGGTCAGCAGCTGTAGTATGTTCGTCACTAGCAGTGCTCTATATTCGTTGTAGTCTATGAGCAGTCCATCAAATGAACGGTTTCTCATCACGCTCACATGAAATAGATCGTTCCTGTACGGACAGCTGGACTTCAGTTCCAGGAGAACCCGAACGTGGATGGAAGACTGCTAACCGTCACGCAGTAGACACGCTGTCAGAGGCACATGGATCTTGAGGCGACGGGCGTCCCTCCAATGTCCAAATGTCTTAATCCAGGTCAGGACGACCACAATCGTGTCTGCGAGGATGAGTAAGGCGCGTGTAACGTATACGACTGCGCGCGAGTGACGTCAGGGTCTCTGAAACGCCCAAAGCCTCCAACAATGGGACGTACACCTATATCATGAGAGTTGAAGTTTGCAAAACAGTAGCAGAGAGACAATGCACTTACATGATGGTTATTTCAGTCGAAAACGGCAACTCTGTAACGCACGTCGCACCAATGTATGGCTCTACGACGGGAATAGTTTTTGTCATCACCTCAGCAATCTGTACACGAGTGTTACAATATAGCATGCGCTAGATGTGAGCAGAGACGACACACACCAGGTTTGTCACAAATGGCGCCATGCTCAGCGCGAACACCAGCAGTGACCAGGCATAACTCCTGTCCCAGATCGCGAAGACGCGTAGGGCGGAAAACACTGGCGTGTGCAAAGACAAATCAGCGTGTTTTTCGCACTCGAGCAAGCTGCATAAAACGTACGTGCAGTCTGGGCATATCCAACAAGGGCTAGTATTCGAGACAAGTTACCTAACGGTACGCAGCTGTATTGGCGGGCTCCGATTAGCAATCACTTGTGCATGGACTTCGAAGAGAATTGAATTACTTCTATATGGAGCATCGTTTAGCGTCTGAGATTGCTAGAGAAATCTAAGGCTTACTGTTGGGATGTATGGCGTAAGTTCCAGAATAGCCGTGAAAAGCCAACACCATCGTATCGAACCAAGAAGGATAGTGGATGCTGTAACAGGTCTCTTCCAGACAATCCTAATCTCATCACTAATAGTGATTAGGAGCTCGTAGATGATGAGGCCTGGGGACAGACACTATGAGCAGCGCACTGGTAGGAAGCAGAGGGTGTACTTGCACGAAGCAGCCACTCCGGTATATGCGCCCTCGAGAGCGATGTAGCTGTAGGGAGCAGACATGAGCATTAGCTTGTCAAATGCGAACAGGTGTGATCCGTAATGCTCACAGTTGCGCGTAGCCAAGAGCCAGGCCCGACTGCGCCGACATATTCAAAAGTAAGGCCCGGGTTTGATGAGGAGGGAGGCAAGCCACAATGAGGGTAGGCTCTCAGTTACATAGTTTATATGCGACCTGGTTGATCTTCTATAGAATTTAGTGCTGTGGATACTTCCATAGCTCTCGCCGGCAGTGCTGCGTTGAGGACTCTCTGAGTACTGGAAGAAGAAGCTGGCTCGCAGGCACGGATGCAAGGATCCTCTTATTTCCATAATCCAGTCCACATCGCCTGCGGGGCTATTCACAACGCTTGTATTTTTCACAAGTGTTGAATACCATAATATGCATGGCTATGCACGGTATCAGAAAATCTACCGTCCTTTCAGTTTCTCGGTCCACGGAGCAGTGCAGACGACGCCGGCCAACAGCAGAGCGATGACGCGTGGGAGAAAAGGCGCTTATCCTCCGAGAAAGACGCTCTGCCCCTTCAATTCGTATCGACGGGCATAACATGTACAGAGCCAAGGGAATCAGGCACCCTGCTCAGTTGTGTTATATTCGAGGTACTTTTGACTAATGTTAGAAATTTTCAGATGGTTCATACCAGTATTACACGTCCCTTGCTAGCTTTAACTATTGTTGGCTCAGGCTGGCCACAAGTTCACAACTCGAGTATCACCAAAGTCGTACTGTCGAGAATTTTAGGAGGGCAAGCTTGGCATGAATTGTAACAGCTTGCCGGATTGACTCCCCGACAGTTTCAATCCGAGCCAGCACAATACTAGCTCCCGGGTATCCAAGCGGGAATTCGCGGTGTTTCGTGGTGTGACGGACAACATTGGCGAGCCCTCGGATGATGCACCTGCCTGCTGATGCTTGATAAGGACAGCAACAGCTCGAAGGGATGGGATGGTACAAGACGCTGCGAGCAAAGAATTGAAATTTGTTGCGCCGGATCTCTTCGGGGGCTTTCGCTATCGTGAAGGTGTTGAGGTGGGAAGCGTACTTATGTGTTCACTAGTAAAATTAAAGATTGTTGTGGAAGTAGGTGCTTCGAAACGCATCACTCGACTGAAATCATTCGACAGCATTTGCGGCGATTTCCTTTGTCATACGCGTTGTAAATATTGCTGTGTACTCGGGCCAAAGTACTTTCTAGTATAATTTTCATCGCTGGCTCATGCTTCTGCGCCAGCTCCACTACGTTCTACCTCGTCGATTTCGTCGCCGTTGGCCTCTTCGTCCCAGTGCTCGTCGCTCAAACCGTCGTACAAAGTCCCCCCAATATTACCCAGCCGGTCGGCTGATCTCCTGAACTGCAGTGCTGACGGTCCTTGCTGTTGATCAGTAATGCACACAGAGTAGTCTGGCACCTCCGAGTCGACCGTGCGTAGATTGATCATGAAGCGGTTAATGAGTATCGTAGGCTGCATGATCAGCTGATGAGCACCAAGGCGGCGAACGAAGAGTTGAGAACACACCAGGGTTACGAAGAATGCGCCCATGGGTGACAAGGCCTTAATTACAACATTAGAAATTCGCTCGCGCACTCATATCGGAGACATACCATAGGAGAGTCGAAGGTCAGCAGCTCAGCAATATTAATTGCCAGCAGAAACCTGTATGATTTCCTCCCGTCAGCAATCACTCCTAATGGACAGCGCTCTCGTCAGGCTCACACGAAATAGAAGGTACCTGCGAGGGCAGCCGGACTCCAGCGGTGGGGAAAGTGAAGGTGAAAGGAAAGCTACCGACCGTCGCGCAGCAGACACGTCGCCAGCGACACTCCCATGTTGGTGCGGCGGACAATCCTCCAGTGTCCGAAAGTTTTGATCCAGGTCACAACGAAGACAATTGCATCGGCGAGGAGAACTGAGCCGCGTGTGATGTACAAGACTGTGAGAAGGTGCTGTCAGAGTCTCCTAAAATCTGAAGGGTTTTGATTGCGAGACATACGTCTGCATCGCTGAGTTCGTATCTGGAGATTGCGGTAGATGGATATGCCTACTCACATGCTGCCTGTTCGTGCAGTCACTGACCTGTCCAAAACACATGTCGCGCCGATGAGCGGATTCACGGCGAACATGTACTTTAATCCCCTCGTGGTGATCTACAAGGAGGTATGAACCGGTGTGTACGCGGAGCTTGAGAGAGGACGGCACACACCAAGTACGTCGCGAGCGGCACCATGTTCAGCGCAAGAACTATCAGCGACCAGACGTAGTTCCTGTTCCAGACTGCAAAGACGCGCAAGGCGGAGAAGACTGACCAATGAAAACTGAGCGCGCGTTTCATATTGGGGCAAACTGCATAAAGCATACCTGCGGTCTGTATGAACCCAATGAGGATGAGTACCGAGCAAAAGATATTAATCGGCGAGCAGCTGTGTGCCAGCTTCTAGTGAGCTATATTTTGCACGCAGGCTTCAACCAGACTGGGCTTACTCCTATAAGGCTCAGTTTAGTATTTGCATAGAGAAAAGGTTCTATACATACTCTCTGAGTTGCTGGTACAAAGCCTAGTATGACCAGGAGAAACAAAGACCACCGTACTGAACCAAGGAGCACAGCGGATGCAGTGACCGGTCTCTTCCAGACAACCTTAATCTCGTCGGCGGCGGTGATCAGGAGCTCGTAGATGACAATTGCTAAAGGGCAGATACCGTCAGCAGAGCACTCGAAGGGGAGAGATACACTTGCATGACGCAGCTATGAATGTATACTCTTGTAGAAGACTGGTAGACAAAGTTCTGGGCATTGGCTCATTAAGTGCAATCAGAGGTGCCACTCACAATTGCGAGTAGACTTCGGCAAGAGTGTGATCCGAGTGTCGAGGCATAGTGAACGCGAGGAGTGCAAGGAGGCGAGCTGTATCTAGGGTGGACCCTCGCCCGCAGAATTTATGAGAGGCTCAGCGGGTCTTCTGTCAATGTCTATGCTGAAACCATCAACGTCTATGCTGAGACCATCAACGCCACCTCTACACACTAACCGCTTTCATTGTGCGTGATTCTCGCCGGCAGCGTTTTGCTCGGAGCTGGCGAAGTATCGGCCGAAAGGGTCGGCCCGCAGACACGGAGATAAGATGGCTCACATGTGAGCGAAGGCCACAGTTCTGAAAGAAAGAAGATTTTGAAGCTCTCAAGTACGGCAGCTAAAATGGGACTCCTTAGTTCGTTGTGACCTTCGGACCCGGATGAGTTAGACGCAGCTTGCAGGAGGGCTCCTCAGAAACGAGGAAGTAGACGAGGCGTCGGCAGTGCCCAGGTAGCTGACAGTTAACCCGGGATGCTCCCATGCGCATCTAAAGATTCGGCTAAGCGTGCTTGTTACGCCTGATGGTTCGCAGGCCGCGGGCGCGAGAGAAAAAGCGCTTACCAGAAGAGGAAGACGTTCTACCTTTTCGACTCCATCGGCAACTGCGGGCCTGCGTGATACTTGCGGCATCGGAAACGAGACAGTGACTCGATAGTGTCCGACGGATAAGTCCGCGCCGTCCGCCTGGCATGCGACGTGAAGTGGTTGTTCGAAGGGAACATGCTGATGAGCCAGAGGGCGACAGCTACGCGCCTCATAAGGATAAGTACGCTCGACATGAGAAAGAAATAGGACGAGGCTGACTCTCCTCCGCTGATGTGCGGCACATCGAATCATGTGACGGCTGGAGCTGTGCGGGGAGTGTTAGATTCCAGCGGTCCCTTCGACAGCACGCGGCAGCGACCAGCGCTCCAGGCACTACTTGGCGATGCCGCTTTGTTGCTTTTGACGGTGGAATCGCTGGGGATGTCGGAACAGGCCTGTTGTGACACTGGGCCCACTACAGGTCTCCCTTTCCTGAGTGAGCACTTGTGCCACTCCATCGTCGACCATGCGCTGATGACGACGGACAGACGATGCTCAAAGTGATCAATGGTTCGGAGCAGTCGACCGCTTCAGTGATTCAGAGCCCACAGCAAGTCACTTTTCATCTTGACGGTGGTATCTTCCTTCTGACCCCCAGCTCGGCTGTAGTCGCTCGTTGGCTGAACGGTTTTCAAACTGACATTGAGAGTATAGTCAAAACAAGGAGCTACTGGCTGCGAGCCACACAGCTGGAAGCGAACCATGCCATGCAGTGGCCTGGGGAAAGGTGAGTGCTGCTGTCTTATTGAAATCAAATGGAGACTCACCAAACTACGCTGGGTCGCTCCCCAAAGCCACAACGCTCACCATTCGCTCTCAACGAGGGCGCGACGAGTCGTGTTGAAATATTGGTGGCCTGCACGCAAGGGTGTTGCTGCTCGGAAACTGGAACGTCCCACGCGAGACGATCCCGGAACCGCCCAAACGTGCTGTGGCTGCCATAGAGCTTAAGCGCGACGGATGGTAAGCACTATCACCTTCTGGCAAGAATCTGAGCGACGACTTACACGTTACAGTAATCATCTGTGCACTAAATTTGTATTGTCAGTTCGTTCACGGCAGCTCACAGGAGAATCCCAAGGGCTTGGATTCCGTTCTGGAACGCGATTGTCCCACGCGAGACTATCCCTGAGTGGTCTCGGATTTGCTTTGAATGTATCCATGCCATAAGATTCCATACTGTTACACACAAACAGGTATCCTACAAGTCATCAGTGCCATCCAATCATACGGCCAGTATAGTGTGGGGCGTCAGCTGTTACAGTGTCATGTCCGTGTCTCTGGCAGATCTAGCGCAGAGTCATCATGGTTCCAAGGCATGCCAACAATCCCAATTGAAAGCTCCCCTAGCTGTTCAACACCTCCATTATTGGTAGCTGGGGGGATTCCGCGATCGAGCGAGGGCATCGAGATGAGAACCGCGACCTGCAGCTGATCCACTTGACCCTTGTCGCCGAGCCCGTCTTTGGGAGGGCTATGTCGCATGGGGTCAACTAAATCCAACCACCACTCCTTGAGATTTTGAATAGGATGCATTCGGTCCCGCGGAAGTCGAGGTGACCCAGAAGGTGATGGCGTGGGTGCGATGTCCATGACGGGTACGCCGCCTCTACGAGGCATGCGCTGGTGCATGGGCGATTGGGGAGGCCAGGGTTGCGTGAGCTCTGGATCTTCGTACGGAACCTCGACCACAGGTACTTCTCTACAGAACCAGGAAGAGAGCGGCTGGAAGCCTGTCTGAGCGCCTCGTCTTCCGCCGGTAGGGCGCAAGCACTCACCTCCATGCCTTCCCACTTCTCTGGCTGCACGCATCCATCTGGATACATGTCCCACAGCACGGGCTTCCGGGGACGTATGCGCTGGCGGCGCTGCGGGAGCTCGGGGACGGGCAGGCCGAGCCGCCTGCGGGCGAAAAAGACAATACGGCGGGCCCAGAGACCGAGGCCCATGAAGCAGACGAAAAGCGCGAGGAAGGCGACGAGGAAGCTGAACGGGACGCTGTTGCGCGTGTTAAGATCGTCTCCGTCAGGGTCGCTCGCCACCGTGTTCGTCGGCGCCGCGTTTGCTGTGGTTGCCGTCAGCGTTTGGAGGGCCATCGCTGCTGCACGCCTGCAGGGTGGTGGCTCTGGGCAGAGAGTCCTGTGGGCCCAATGGAAGAGCGTGTTTCAGGCATGAGAACAGATGCTCAAATGTGGTGGAAAGCCGTCGAGAGCATGTGAGAATCAGCTGAAGCTTATCCTGGTCTCTTACCTGATCGGGTATTTCGATCAAACTCTGCGAAATCGTTGCGAATATTCCGTCTGGCGCTGTCCGCCTGCTTAGGACCTAATCCGCTGCATGAATCACTACCATGGTGCCATTAGCAGAAGATCCGTTCAAAAGCATACAAATTCCCAGACGAGGCAACCCGGGTGGATGCCGCGCCCAAGCCGCCGGGAACAGCTGTTCATATCACTTCCACAAATTGCTGCTAAACACTCACGCCCGAGGAAACTACCATCTAAACTTGTTCTAGCGTGCTGCGGACTATCTTGCACACCCACGGAGCTCTCGCAGTCATCAGCATCCGCGGATATCTGCGTCTCTTCTAGCAGGCGTCCTGCTGCGGGCCAGCACTACTGCTGAGGAAGTCGTAACGGCGGTCCGCCATGCGCAGCAAAACACTAGGCGCCTCGATCGGTGGCATAATATGCAAACATGTTTCTGTAAGACTGAACCACGTGAAGAGGGAGATGTTTGTCTATACAGTATGGGACGGCCGAAACAGGATCGGATATGGACGGCCGTACGATCATGAGCACCTCAGAGCACGGCGCGTTACCCAGCAGCATCCTCTTGCAAGGCGAGCCAAGGATGTAGCAGTACCTCTTCAACACTCGGTCGTGCGCATGGTTCCATCTTCAGCATGGAGCGAAGCAATGAGACAAGTCGCGCAGCATCACTGCTTGCGGTACTGTCATCTACTATCTTCGGCACGTTCTCTGCATAGTGCTCTATGCGCTGCGCCCACTCTGCATCTGCGGTCTCTTGAGATATGCCTGAGTTTCAGCTTGTGATCAGGAAAAACCTTCGCGTGATGCCACAATTATGCATACCGAGTTTTTTTAGAGACTCGCACGAATCCCAGTAGCTACGCCACGAAGACGGAACTTCGCCGCAAAGTGTGGCCATTTTACCCAGTGTCACGTCGTTGGCAGATGCTAAACGGAAGAGCGTCGACCCGAAGACAATCTCGTAGATCTAGAACAGCTCGTTAGCAGTAGGGTTGGGAAGCGCAAGACCGATACTTGCCGTGCATGCCAAGCGACCAGATGTCGCTTGCGAAGGCTGGCGGAGGGTCGATTGAATGAACGACGCGCTCGAAGAGAAGTTCAGGTGCGCACACTGCTACGGGTGTACATGATGGACGCGGCTGCTCGCTTGCTACTAGTATCGCTAGCCACCAATTGACAGGTAAGCACTGCTAGGTGTCATAAGGAAATAGGGTCTCACCGTTACCAAAATCAGCAACTTGCGCGCGGAACGGCGTCTCGGCGAACGAGGAGTCGTTTCTCAACAGATAATCAAGGATTGATATGGGTCGCACGAGGTACGGGGGCAGTGAGTCAGGGTTCGAGTGCGGCCTCGTCGGGAGCACAATCGTGCATTCCGGATTGCCGAAATAATCAAGGATGTCTCTCGAAGGATGGTCATCGAGAGAAGGCAGGGCGATGCCGATGTTACTAGAATGTATATCTGGTGAAGAGAGCTTGAATCAACACAGCTCGGATAAATTAATTACACCGACACTTGCCTCCATGCGCGATGCCATGGCGGTGTATGATAGCAAGACCATCAGCAATCTGTCGGCATAAATTTTTGACTTGCTTCCGCCCAGCAGGCAAACATACAGCATCTTTTAAGCTTCCCAAAACGTTGTGAACGAGTACGGCATGTCTACCGTTCGGCCCTTGCAGCGTAAAGCCGTCGAGGAGCTGCACGACATTGGGCGACTCGTCCGTAGGAAGTCTGGCAAAGACGTCCAGCTCATGCTGGGGGTCTGCGCGTGCAGCGCATATTTTCAACGCTACATAGCGTGTGCTACAGAGGGCTCACGGGTTAGGATAGGCCGCAGGCATATACAATGTGCCGTCACTCACCTTGATGACGTCGACGACCGGTGTAGAGTTTCGGCGAGCCATACCGTCGCGAAAGCGCCATGACCAAGCTTGTGTAAGATGCGATATTGCGTTTGTGAGTTTATTCGCTGTGGGGGCATGATATCTCCAAGACGAACAGGATGGTAGCCTCCCGGCGCATACTGTCTGACGTCTTCGAGGTCATCGTCTGGGTCCCAGAACAGGGAAAGCTCCGTCATAGCCAATGCCGCGGCGATATATGGACTGGTCAAATACAAATCTACAGAGGCGGGATGTCAGCAGGCGGTAAACGGCTTCGGCGGTTTTACCTACACGTCCGCAGTGATGGCCGGAGAGAACAAGAGCTTCAGGAGTCCGAGCGCCAGCGTCGTGGCGCCGATATCGGGAAAAGCGAAGAGCAGTCCGCAGCAAGCTGAGCTTCGTCGAAGTGAAGACTCTTTGCTTGACACATTTGTAATACGGCGAGTGCCCGACTTCACGTACATATGGACTCATGCATCTCCGGACACCAAACCCATCAGAGTTACTACATGATTGCCTGCAGGCACTATGAGTCTGGATAATGCGGGGGACGAGGACGCAACAAATACAGCAAGCATATATCAACACACAAGCGTGGAAGGTGTTTTTCCGAGAGCTTCCTATTTTTTACATATTTAGCCTGAGAGGAGCATCTGAAGGTGTGGCATCGCCGAGGAATATGAGTCAGGAAATACGCAGGGTCGCCCTCGAGCACATTCCCCGCAGACTGAGCTCTGATGTTCTGTTCCATCTCAATCTTTCCATCCTTCTTGCTATCCAATTTCCTGGATATTGGCAAACGCTATCTTTGCTAACTTACATGAGCTAATGAGTGCCATACCCTAGCCTGCATCATTACTCTTCTCTTCAATCCTGGGTTTGAGAGTTCGACTCTCAGCTTGTTTGTTCTGGACAGCATGCGACCATCAGCAGCTAAAACTACTTCCGCGAGATGCTGTACTCGTACCCACCAAACACCTCCAGTGTGACATTATAGGGCTGACAGAACGCGTTGAAGGCACTGCGGCCAAGGTCACTATCCGACGTCCAAATAATGGTCTTCCGCTCGTACGCGCGAGAACTTACTGTGCGGTGTAAATCATATTGAGCAGCTGTCTTAAACAAGGGGCTTAAAGGCATAGGAGGGCAACATCCTTCGTAGTGAAAACAACACGCGGCTTGTGGCGCGTTGCGGACACTCTTGCACCGGAGTTATCGGAGTTCAAAGATACAAAGTGTATTGAGGTGAGATTTTGAGGCGGAGCTTATCGGAGCGCGTGCGGCATTCTTCGATCCGCCACAGTTGTCAAACGTGGAAGACATCCTCGACCTCAACCTCAACTTCCTTCTCGAACTCTCGACTCTCCTGCTTCTCTCCTACATATATATTATACCTGCTAAAACTCTGTTCATCGTCTCGACCTGCTGGCAAGACTGTCGTCACGTTGCCATATTTATCTTAGATCCCTCGGTCCTTCCCTCGTCTCAATCCGCTCTTTTGTCCGGCTTTCATGAGCAGCAAGAATGATACCAGGTATTCACCCAGTCCTCCCGTGATGATGCAAGTTAGTCTGCATGTTTAGTCTCTCTGCGTCTTCTCATACATGTTGTCTGTCCCGCCTGCGCAGCGACCTTACAGTTCTGATCGTAGGCGTAGTCCTTCCCCTGGGCCCCCTCCCGCAGCATATCCGACATACGATAGATACATTCCCCCACGCCAGAATGTCTTCTACCGAGACCCGTACCCAAACAGCTATCGGCCCGGTCCTGAAGCTTGGGGACCAGAACGACCTTATGCTGGAAGCACTTCATCCCCTGACAGGTATCGCCCGCCAAGACATGCAGAGGGTAACGATTGGGGCCGCTCTTCCTGGAGACCTATGGAATCACTTCCGTGGCCCGACAGAAGGCCTCCGCCGCCACCTCCACCAGAAGCATACGAGCCGACTTGGGGAAGAACTCGAAGGGACATGCTTGCGCAGCCCATGTTTGAACCTTCGGATAGCTGGAAACAGTCTCATGGGATCAATACGGATGTTCCAGATGGGTGCGAAAAATTCATTCAATCGTTACACTTCCCCTCATACCTCCTCTAGGGATGGAAGAGATTGGTCGTACGATAAGTTTTCACCTGTGCACGACACGCGAGAACGCTCTCCAGAACGACCTCCACCTCGAGAATTCCCCCCACCATATTCCTCAAATGACCGCAACAGGCGATTTTCAGGCCCACAGGAGCAGAGAGAAGCGCATCCGTACGGTCCACGATCTGATTCTTACCGACCTCAGTATGACGACCGTAGTCCCTGGGGCGCCTCTTCGTATCATCCCGATGGTGCGGAGATGCGTGCTCGAGAACAGCGACCTTCAGCTCGCGAATCTCGCTTCATCTCAAGAGGTGATTTCGGCGAGCGTGTGCGTTTTTCTCGAGAGCGGTCCGTCGGCGGTGGGTCCGTGCATGCCAGTCCCCTACCCTCACCAATACGAACCCGCACGAATTTGCCCGACCGTGTCCCATTTGGCAGCCATTCGAGGTCTGCATCAGGGTCGTATCCTCACAGTCCAATGAACAAAACCCAGTCTCGCCCTTCCTGGGACTTTGAGGCTCCCCTACCGCCCAAGATGTCGCCCCCCGAATCCCGATCTCGCTCAATCTCGCAGGAGGTATCATATCATCCGCCTCACAGAGGCGACTATACTTCCGAGGCCAACGGCTGGAAGGACGGCCGCTTGCTGCGTGAGGCCTCTGTGGAACATTACGCGCCAGCAAGTTATTCTCATCGTTCTCAGTCTGGTTCGCCGTCCCTGGAGTATCGTCAAGCCTCACCTGCGGGACGATATCTGTCGTCAACACCGCCGCACCAGCATGACGACTATGCCAGTTCCGCTTATCCTTATCAGCCTGATGCTTACGATGCGCAAGCAGCTCCCACGCGTAAGGATCGTCATCCGTCGGTGAACGCGACGAGAAGGCAAGAGTCAGCACCACAGATTGCAGCAGACCATGGAAACGACTTCGGTATGTGATTTATATATTCAGGTTCTGTTGTTCAGGGGACCTGATATCTGCTTTGCATAAGACGAACGACTTCTCGCGAAGCGCGACGATGAGGACCAGCCTTCATTCGCCCCTGTCCTGGCCATAAACCGTGATTCTGTGGCTGATTACCCGCCTATATCCAGCGGATCTCAACAGGTTGCGACTGCGACGGAAGCTGCTACCAAGATTTTTACTGGCGACGAGGAGATGAAGTTTGTGGGGCGGAGCTTTAGGGTCTCAACCGATCAAGTTGCCATCACCCGCGACTCAAGTTCTCCGGAGCCAGACATTCCCTTGGCCTCCTTAGCGAAGCAGAGCTCGATAGCACGTTCCCCTATGTCGATGCCTCCGACTCCCATTCTTGAGCAAGGCGAGCCATCGAGTCATGGCGAGCCAGCCATCCCATCCGAAAGGTTTCTCGCGCCGAATATCAGGCCGGCAGCTGGCGAGTCCATGCCTCTCCAGGACGTCCTGCGTGCTGTGGTCATGCTACGACTTCAGCATGACCGGCAGACGAAGGAGGAGCGCGTCACACCCGTCTTACTCGACAATCTGTCCAAGGTTGTACCGCCGGCGGTGCCTTGCATGCCCGATGACGTCATCCGAGAGGTAACCGCCGAGATGCGGCACAAAGAGCGAGGTCGGGCACACGAAGAGACGAAGCACTCTCTCCAAGTACGGTTCGCTCAGCGACAGGCGGATCTTACCAACAAGGTCGCCAGGTTGAGAGAAGAGTACCTCGGCCTGCATAAGCAATGGCTTGTCCAATGTAGCAAGCTCGATGAAGCGGCCAAAACTCTTGCACTCCAGGAGGCCGCTGCGACGGCCGGACGTACGACTCGCCGCTCCTTAGCAACTATGGGCGACGCCGTACGGTCCGATCTCGAGATGGAACAGATCATCGCGTCTCTGGGCAACGAAGAGTTGACGGATGCAACCCACCTCGGCGCGAAGAACGCAGCTGTGATCCCGGACATGACCAGCGTAACGAAGGGCGAGGTCGAGTGTCTGTACGACGACACGAACAACGAAGTTGAGAATCCGGCCGAGTACTACGCCCCGACGACGGGCATCGACGACTGGACAGAGGAGGAAGTCGCCGTCTTTCTTGACAAGTTCGCCGACTTCCCGAAGCAGTTTGGGATCATCGCGGACTTCCTGCCATACAAGACACCGACGCAATGCGTCACGTTCTACTACCTGCACAAGAACAAGCACATCGACTTCCGGCAGGTCGTCGCACGCCGGGCGGTGAAACGAAAGCGTGGTGGGCGGAAGCAGAAGAGCAATGCGCTGCTTGCCGATATCCGTAAACGAGACGAAGAAACGTTTGCCAACGGAACCAGCAGACGCAGGAGAGTACCACCTGCCGCAGCGAATGGGGAGTCAAAGCGCGCTACGGCACGCCGCTGTGCCGCTATTGTCCAGGAGGATCCTGCCACTGGCACACCAACACCCGAGCCCGAGAACGAGCCTCGCAAGCGGAGGCGTCGCGCACCACAGCGTATCATGGCTGCAGATCAGGATGAGACTGTCGAGGAAGCTGTGAGATCCTTACTTGGTATGCAAACGAGCATAGCTGATGCGGTCTGTAGGAAACTGACTCCAAGCCCAAGCGTGTGAGGAAACCTCGCAGACAGGCGAACATGTCTGCATCTGCGACCCCCGTCAATGCCACTCCTCTCGATACCCCTGTCATCCCTGACGGACCCGAGCCAAACCCCATGGAGGACATCGTGCTGTCGATCGGTCAAGCCGGCTCCTCTCGAAGGTCCACTGGGAGCAATTTAACTTGGTCGGACGATGACCAAAGTATGTGCTTCGATACTGTAATATATACAAACGCTCACTATCGAGAGAAGACCTCTTCTTGCATCTCCTCTCGCAACATGGCGATGACTTCAAACGGATTGCCGCGTCTATGCCCAACAAGGTCTGCCTTTTCAACATCTATAATATTGAGCTACGTTCATTAGAAAACGGTAGACCACGGTCCAAGTAGGCGCCTTCTACCGGGCACATGCCGATGAAATGAGTTTGGACAGGATTGTCGCCAGTGCGCCCAAGCGATCGCCATCAGCAGAGCCGCAGCCCCAGGGTGTATGGAAACAAGTCACATTCAGGGGTGTCCGGCAGTACCAAGATGCTAGAGCTCCCGTCGAAACCTATCAGTTGAGTTCGCCTCGGCACAATATTGATCCACAACTCATTCAAAGATACTTGTTCTCATCTAGTCAAGCTTTGGGGAGTGCTGGTAGCTCTGGGAGCTCAACTCCCATGTCTGGTTTTGCCGGGCCCGGCTCTGGCATGGCCTACCGACCGAGCTCGTATGAAACGATGCAAGTGCCGTACGCCTTCAATCGCGTGCCATCGCGTAGCTCAGAAGAGGGGATGCAGGCCGGTATGACCACGATGCCGAGGGACCACCTCAACAACCCGTCGCCATTCGCACAGGGCACGCTCACGACGCGTTTCTCGAGCTTCCCGTATCGGAACTTCTCGCCCTCGCACTTCACAGACAGCCAGTCGCCAAGTTTCAGCGGCGTGCAGAGCACGTACGCGCAGAATAACAATGTGTCGAGCAGCGCCGCGCATCATCACCACACAGAGCCCCTCGCCGTGACGACGAGCGTGACCAACTCAAGTATGGCGTTTGACACGGTGCCGCCTTCTGTCCCTGCTCCTCAGGTGTGGACTCATGCCCCGTTGCAGACTACCGATGACCTTGTGGCATACCTGGAACACCGCACCAGGCTGGCACAGCAGCAATGATGTGATTTCGGACCTTGCAAACTGATTTTCCCCTCTCAGATGAACGCGTATTCGTGTGCTGTCGTTTGTTTGTACTTTTTCTCCTCTGTGCTCTAGCCAGTGCTTAATCACGCATGTACATCCTTCGTAATTTTCAAAATACCTCAGCATCGTAATACAAAGACACTCGATCTATGTCATCATCATCGTGTGATAGTGAGATGCAGCAAGTAATGCGAAGTTGCGGAGCTACCCGGGTTCGCACCGCGCGGGTCAGCGCCTGCCCTCGACCATAATGACGTGGTAACCAAACTGTGTCTTGACGAGGGACGAGCAGACAGGACGGTCGACGGTGGAAGGCTCCAGTGCGAAAGCAGCGTCTTGGAACGCTCCCTAGAAAGCCAAATATCCGTCACCGGCCGTGGCGGCGCGTATCCGCTCTGAACCTACCACCATGGACCCTCGGGTCATCCAACCAAGGCTACCGCCAGCTAGGAATCGTGTGAGACAAGATGAGAATCAGATGTTCAGCGTAATCCTTTACCTTTCGCCTTGTCCTCCGAGTACTCCTGCGCGACCTTGTCGAATCTCTGTCCCTCCTAACCGACGCAAATATGAACTCCCTAGGAAAAGCTGCATGCAGGATCAACACCTCACCTGGATCTTCTGAAGAGCTTCAGTAGCCTTCGAATGCTTTTCGCAGAGGATGTGCCGGACGTTGATGGCGGTCGCGGGCTTTAGTCCGCCTTTCCCGCCCTGGATGCATCGCGTAATCGTTGGGACATAGCTTTTCATTATAGAAAACGACAGCTACCTTCGGTTTCTCGCCAGCATCGTCAGCTTTGCTAGCGGCCTTACCTCCTTTCTTGTTGTCGCCTCCTTTGTTGGCGCCCTTAGCCATTGCAATACTAGTGGTCGATGGAGGAAGGAGGACCGTGGACGTCCTGAGGGCATGCGGTTGATGCGCGCCACCAAGTCTTTGCCAAATAGTCGTAAACACAGGAGCATCGGAGAAGGAAAGTATTATTATTGGATGTTGGACGCTCTCGGAGCCTGATTCAATGGCATATGATATTTTTGGTAGACAATTTATACTCTATCTTATCAATGAGAGTAATGGCGTTGTTCGGCGGCACATATTGCCGCCGGTTCGGCTTGAAACCGCTGTTCGAGCCAAGCCGAACCGAGCTGAGACATTGCCTCGCGACTTGCGGCTGCTCAATCTAGCTTCTTGCGAAACATTAAGCAAGTCGCGACAGAATGGCACGGGGCTAATTAGTTGATATTTTCAGCTGAAAGAGGCACGAAAATTGGTATGAGAATAGAAGCTAAAAAGACCGAACACTTTCTGGTAAAAACATACAATAGGTAAAACCTGGAAATAGGAGCCAAACAATAAAACCTTTTTTTGGTGAATCTTGTTGTAAAAAGCTGCTTTGCTTGCAGCAAAAAGGGGTAAAAATACCACTGAGCTATCTATATATAGAATAATAGATATATTTTCTATTGAGATAGGTACAAAAAAAGTATATGTCTACTATCTATTTGCTTAAATGGGAGAGCTTACTTTTGTCACAAAAAGACTGTAATACAAATACATTAACTATTTTTTGGCGTCGCCGTGTGTGCCCTCTGACACATTCACTGGTCGCCCATTGGTCACCCACTAGTCACCCACTGATCTACCCGCCGGTTGCCTGAACAGCGCCCGCAAACGCGAGCAGGTCGGGCGATGCGAGTAGAACACA